ATAAGACTTTCACGTCACGACTGGTCTAGAGAAATCTGTAGCCAGTAGTTATCAATATTTTAAGCATAAAAAAAATGCTACCCGATGTTAATGAAAATGATTCGCTTATGTGAAAAATCTGTACGTGATCGATAAAAATGGATATCATTTTCGGATTAAGCGTACAGGAATTACCGGAGAACGTGTAAAAATTTCAAGACAATAAAACCATCTTAGGCCACTATGAACAAATATATGTACGTGCTAAACAGATTGTCCTTATCGCCACGATTTGCATCTGAGGCGATGGTCAGGTAGGATTTTCAAAATCATACTTATAAATTACAAGTAATATTTTATGGTTAACAAATTATTACGCATCATATATTGATTACCAATATTTTACAGTATATTTAGTAACAATACTTTACGTAACAAACATATATCAATAACAAGTAAATCAGATATCACAATAAGTTATCACGTATCGATTGGTAATAAATACGGTACTACCATTTATGTAGTAACAATTTACCTCGTAACAAAAATATATTAATTACTGTTCAGCTAGGTAAAACAAACACGTCAGTATTGGTTACACAGCAACAAAAAGGGATTTCAGATATCAAATACCGTTATTTTCGGAATTTTCTATATCGTAAAAATTAGTTGAAACATTACAGATAAGACTTACTCGTAATGTTCAACATTATCAAAACATTTACGTTAGTAACTGATAGAAAGTTTACAAATTTTAAAAAGTTTCGGTCAGGATTCTCTTGATGGGCATGAACACTCTTTTTTCAAGTTAAAATGTCGTATATAAGATGTAGAAAAGATGCAGACAAGTCAGACCAAAGATAAAACATGTACACACTGCAAAAACACATAAAAACAACCATAGTTAATTAAACATATATGTAGAGCTATTAACAGCTGGTTTCAATTATACAGGGCTGGTGTAATAAAATCCATACTTATAGCTGTGGGACGTTATTTGTATGTAATAAAGCCGTAAAGATGATGAGCTGGGGCTCAGGCTCGTTGCTGTTTGGTTTGGAGAAAAGTCATATTGGGTTATCTGCTATGTCCACCCTGGGAAATCGAACCCTGGATTTGAGCATTGTAAATACCTAAACGTACATCTGACCCACCAGAAGACCCCAGGCTCTCATACAAAGGGTTTGTAACGAATACTTTATATATACATATATATATAAAGTACAACAATCATTTTAACAATCCGCTGACAGATATTTATTCTAAACAAAATATACATGATACTAAATGCAGATGGATATATATGTCCATCTGCATTTAGTATCATGTGTATTTTGTTTAGAATAAATATC